GGAATTCGTAACATTCGTCTCCAACAGAACATTTCAGTGGCGTCTATCTTTCTTCTCTCCGATTGTCTCAGAGTCCAAGATTCACATCCGTAGGTCAGTATTGGGAATATTAAGCAGTTGATCAACCTCATCTTTATCGCTCTTGAAATTTGACAGTCCTTCCATATTTTGGTCATTTTTGCTGTGGCAACTTTTGCTAGATCAGATCTACATTTAATCTCTCCTTGTAATGACCCTGTGTTTGTGATTAATGATCCCAGATATAAGTATGAGCTCACAACCTCGAACCGGTCAATTGTGGTTATGTGTGGATGATTGCTGTGTAGTCTATCCACTATCATGATCTTTGTCTTTGATATGTTTAATTGCAGACCAAATATTTGACTTTCGTTTTAGATCAGTCGTATAAGTTCTATCAGCTCTGCTTGACTATTTGCAAGAAGGGCTGTGTCATCTGCGAAACGTAGGTTGTTTAGTTTATGACCATTTATTGAGATGCCCTTTTCCCATCCTTTAAGTGCTCTTCGCATGATATACTCCCCATATATCTTGAATAATTGTGGAGATAGTATACATCCTTGTCTGACACCCCGTTCTGGATGAAATTCGTTCGAAAGTGTGTCAAGTACTTTAACTGATCCAGTAGTGTGTTCATATAGTTCGGTTATAAGCGTAATTAGATGTTGTGGTACGCCTACTTCTTTTAGTATTCGCCATAAGTGTCTCCACTTTACCCTGTCGAACGCTTTACGGTAATCTATTAAACAGATGTATAGTGGGATGTTGAATTCCCTAGATTTCTCGATTATCTGTCTTATATTCAGCAGGTGTTCTCGAGTACCTCTACCTTTGGTAAATCCAGTTTGCTCTTGTGGAATTTCTCTTTGAAGGAATGTTTTCAGTCTCTCATTGATTATATGTAGCATTATCTTGCTGGCATGGGATATAAGAGAGATAGTTCTATAATTGTCGCATTTATGGAAGCTGCCTTTTTTATGTATGGTCGATATTGTAGATTTTGTCCAGTCTTCAGGCCATTGTTTGGAATGCCATATTTGGTTACAGAGTAGATGAAGTAACTTTACGCCGGTTTCTTCTGTGGCTTTAAGCATTTCTGCTGCTATCATATATGGACCTGGTGCTTTGTTATATTTGAGCTTGTTGATAGCCTGGCTTACTTCATTTTCGAGTATATCAGGTTCTTCTTCCACCTCGTCAGAGATTTGGCTAACAAGCTCTTGGCGTTGATCATCTTTATATAGGTCCCTGCAATACGATCTCCATGTCTCTGCTATGTCTTCTCTGTTTGTTCTCAGAGTTCCAGTGTTATCTTCAATGGCCCAAGTTCTGGCTCTGAAGTCTCTTGTCAGGTAGCGTATTTTTCTAAATAGATCTCTCGGCTGATTATTCTGACCATGTCTCTCAATTTCTTTGCATATACTTTGATAGTACTGTTTTTTGTCGGCCTTACATCTTCGTTTTATTTCTTTATTGAGGTTTCTTAAACTAGCTTTTTCCCTATATATAAAAATGCTTGCACATAATTCAAGATTTGAGACGTCAGAACCCTACAGCGTTGCCAAAACATCAGGTGAGGAATCTTTAAAATGTCAATTATTTGTCAAACTATTATATTAACACTTAGTTTTTAGACTACTACAACACACTAAAATACATAGGAAAATATTCTAAATTTTAAACTTACCTCTAGTTTTAAGGCTTTAATAGTAAAAACGTCCCGCCTTTATTTCTTGTTCAAAATAATCTATCTTATATGAAAGCTTATCAGCTTTCTACAGACTATTTAGTTATTTTGGCATAGCACAATCACAATACACAATAATAATTAGTGTTTGAAGCTATTAATCTAAATTTAATATGTATTTATAAATACATGTTATTAATATATATTATATTATAATCAAATTGTGTTCTTACTCTAAAAAAGCGGCAACACTTCAAACAATTTTGCCACACGCTTAACTGTCAATAAAATTTGAAGTATTCTCGTATTAGTTGCGTACAATTGTCCAATCTATTTAATTAATTAAAATTATTATTTTGTGGAAGATTAGACTTAAAGAGTTATTTCATAAAATTTATATTATTAATAATAACAAATGTTTTTGGTTATTTAATCAATATAATTCTAAAATCCCCAATATATTGATGATTATAGTTTTCTAATTTCTAGTTTTCTAATTTTTCTATTTCTGATTATTTTACTATGTTGACGCCTATAAAAGATCGAGCAATTCCGTATGGGTTTCGTACTATTAGGTGTGTTATGAAAATTTGAACTCTAAGGTTGACGTTCTGGAAATTTTAAATATAAGCGACGTTACTTTATATAAATTGTGACGTGCAAGCATTTTTATATGAAAAATGCTACACGTTGATTTTTTCATAATTACGTTAAATCCAGAGGTAGCTATGGAAAAATGGCATCAAAACCATAACATTGCCAGTAAATGTTAAATATATGTTGTAGTATTGTAAAGCTTTTTGCCGTTTATGGATTTTACAATGGGTCGAGTTAAAGTTATCGATGAGAAAATTTTTTCAATCATTATTAGATTTTTTAATTCTGGAAAATTAAATTCGAAAATCGCGAATATATTGCAATTGTCACGCTATACTGTAAGAAATATTGTCAGAAGTTACAAAACTATAGGTTCAGTCGTCACAAAACCTAAAAATGTACAAAAAAGTTAAATAACCGAAGCAGGTCGAAGGGCATTAAGACGCATTATAGTGAAAAATCGACGAGCAAATTATAATATGGAGTTAAGCGTTTTATAGAGTGACTTTATTGGAAGACACGATTCTAAATCAACATGTCACTGAGGGCCCCACAAATTAGAATTTGATACTTACAAAGTAAGTTTTATAACTCAAAAAATTAGTACCAATTGTTTTTAATAAACTTAATTTTATTTTATTCTAAGGAAAAGCCACTTTTAACATTACAACAACAAAAAATATACTTCTTCTTCTTAAAGTGCCCTCTCCTCAATGGAGGTTGGCTACTACAATTTTAAACTCTTCTCTATCTTCAGCTGTTCTTATTAGCTGTTCAAAATTTAGCCCTGTCCATTGTCGGATGTTTCTGAGCCACGATAGTCTTTTCCTTCCTAGGCCTCTCTGTCCCTCGATTTTTCCTTTCACTATAAGTTGGGCATATTGTTACTTATTATTTCTCAGTATGTGGCCTAGATATAATGTTTTTCTAACTTTTACTGTGTTAAAAAGTTCTCTTTCCTTGCCTATTCTATGCAGCACTTCTTCGTTTGAGGTATGCGATGTCCATGAAATTTTGAGTATTCTCCGGTAGATCCACATTTCAAAGGCCTCCAATTTATTTACGGTTGATGTTTTAAGGGTCCACGTTGCAACTGCTTATAGAAGAGTCGACCAGACGTAGCATTTTGATAAACGTTGTCGAATTTCGAGTTTTATTCGAGAATCACAAAGCAGTTTCTTTTTATTTTTTCGAAAGATTTTCCGGCCTGTTCTATTCTCGATCTTATTTCTAGATCAGGATTTAGGCTGCTATCGATCCAACATCCCAGGTACTTAAATCTATTGACCTGTTCTAAAATGTGCCCATTTATTGTGCAAGGTTGAGGTACGTTTTGGTTTTTTCGGATTGACATCAGTTTGGTTTTTTTAATGTTTATTTTCATACCAAATTGCTCACAGGTCGAGTTGGTCTTGTCGATGAGTCGTTGCAGACCTGAGTCGGAATCCGAAATTAACACTATATCATCGGAGTATCTGATACTGTTGATATTTACGCCATTCACATTGACTCCATCCTTGGAATCCTCCAATGCATCTTTAAATAGAAACTCGGAGTAAAGATTAAACAGCAGAGGCGACAGAACACATCCTTGTCTAACTCCCTTCCTAATTTCTACTTCTGTGGATGTGGAACCTTCGATCCTAACTCTGGCGGTTTGGTTCCAGTACAAGTTTTTTAAGAATTTGATGTCTTTTCCATCTAAACCGACTTCTTGCAAACGTTCTAATAGTAGGTCGGTCTTACTCTATCAAATGCTTTTTCGAAGTCTATAAAGCATATAAATATATCTTTCTGTTGGTCGTAGCTATTTTGGGCGAGAACTAGTAAACTGAACAGGGCTTCTTTCCGTTCTCTCGGAAAAATATACTAAGATGGTCAAAAGAGCTTAAAGATTGGACTCAGTCGCAATTAGATTTAATACAATAGAGTGATGAGTAAAGATTTGAAGCGTGTATTCGAGACAGTAGGAGTCGCGTTATTCGCAGGAAAAATGAAGCTTTCTATCCCGACTGTGAAGAGAAAAGTCAAATTTCCCGTATCTGTCATGCTCTAGGGCAACATGTCATCTAAAGGTGTGAGAAAGTTGCATTTTATCGATGGGATTGTAAACACGGACAAATATTTGAATATTTTAGAAGAATCTCTTTTACCGGTTATAGGACATCGTTTAACATCAGCGGAAGATTTTATCTTCCAACAGGACGGCGCAAGTTGTCATACCTCAAAAGAGTTTAAAATGTCACCGAGTTTAAAAACCGTCAACGAATTGAAGGAAAAATTGCAAGAAATATGGGATTCGTTTTCATTAGAATTTTGTTAGAAAATGGTAAAACTATGCCTCGAAGAATTTTTGATGTCATTAAAAATAAAGGGGATGTAACTCTGTGGTAAACTTTCAAATTTGTTTTTGTTATTAATACATATTCTAGCGTTTTTTTAATTTATTATTATTCTGTTTATTCAATAGTTTTCATTACGTTATAAAATATTTTCTATAATTAGAAATTTCAAAAATATTGTTCGATGCATTAAAACTTCTAAAATTTACGCTGCACTTTTATTTTTGTTCTCTAAAATTTAATTTTCTTTTCAATCTAACGTTGGGCCAACTGATATGGGAAGGGGCTCGTATTAACAAACCTATTTTAACATAAAACGTAACTACACAAACACATTTGGAATAAACAACACTTACCTTGACTCGTTGCATATGTAGTTCTTGACTTCTCTTTCTTTTCTCTAATTCAACCTTTCGGGTGAGTAGGTCTCGAACTTCGCTAGAGGCACCCGTTGTAATCGTCTGGTCCAACTGCTCTTCTTCGTTGTCGCTGAAGCTCTCCAGTAGAACATCGTTGTTCTGCCTCTGAAAGTAACCATGAGGAATAAAGTGTGATTAAGAATTGCAATGTTGATTCCAAAAGCAGAACAAAGGCAGGCTAAAGTATGTATGTTATTGCTATATCTATTAATTGTAGATTATAAAGATCCTTTATATTGTCTGCACCTGCAGACCATATAGAAGATATAAGAGAATATTTATGAAAGTTATTTTACTTACCAATTCCGTGTTTGGCGGTGAGTCCCTACTATTGCTCGTACACACGACCGAAACGTACTCCCTGACTTCGTCTTCTATTTCCAATTTTAACACTGGAGGATCGACTCCGCAAAGGTACACCGTTCCAAAGAAAAGAAGTTTATTAAGGCGTTGGGTGAAGTGGGCAGACTCCAGATCGATGTCTTTCTTGACGTAGACTGCGTCGTCTGCGGTGTAGAGAAGCGGAGTGAAACCGCTTAAGACGCTGTCCTCTGGAAGACGAACTTGGTCGCAGCCTGTAACAAAAAAATGTCATCAGATAACGAGAACGTTAAGTACGGACTAAAGTTTCAAATTTTTTTGCTTTTTGCGTGGGAGGAATTGACTTTAGTTTTGGCAAAAAATCAATATTATTCCGCCCATCTATATGCGAGCAGGACCAATCTAAAGAAGCGCAGCAAAGTATGTAAGCGAAGCATACAGCCGAGTCTTGCTCATAGATAGGAAGAGATTGGTTTTCTGTCTTTTTAATAGCAGTCAGATAAATACACAAAGTAAGTGAGATTAAAATCTCATTGGATAAGGTGGTGTATCCGGACATATGCAGTTATTTTATATTATTTTATTGATATAGTGTTTGTTCATTGGGGGGGGATTGGGTTGGGATGTATGGTAAAATTTGTAGCCTATATTTTGGAATTTTTTCACGTATAATTCGGGTGTGGGGGTGAGTTAAGGATAATCCTCTCTGCTATGCGAATGTTGCCTTATTAGCACTTAATTTTTAAATTGGAGGATAAACGCACAGATACGCTGGGGTTATATTTATAAGAGGATATAGTATTTTTGGTTTGTAATAAAATGTTTTGGTGTGTAATGTATGTGGTATTATGTAAGGGTAATGGTTAATATGGTGTGTTGTGAATTAATTAGATTTTGTGTATTGTTTTGTTGGTTGTTAATTTAGGGGGTATTATTCTATGGGGGTGCTAGTTTGTATGGGATTTTTTTAGTGTAGTGAGAGGGAGTTGTTGTTGGTGAATGGATGGGGTTAGATGAGTTTAAGTGGAGTTTGAAGTGTGTGGATTAATATTGTTGTATGGGTGGGGATTTATTATGATAGTGTTTATTAATTGGAGGCGTTTGGTAGTGTATTTTTTTGGGGGTGAAGAGTTATTAGTATGTTGATTAAAATGAATTGGTATTTTATTGATAAGGGGTTTAAGTGGATGATATTTTTAGATGTTGTTATTTGGTTGGATTAGGATTGGGGATTTTATGATTTTATTGTTATTTTTGTATGATTTGTAAGGAGGTATGGGGGGTTAATGATATTTTGGTTGTTTTAGTTGGATGGGGGGAATTTAGTATGGGTTTATAGATTAATTTTTTGTTATAAAGTTAGGGGGGGGGAGGGGATGGGGTTTGGTGGTTTTATAGTTTTTGTTATTGTGTGTTATTAGGTAATTTGTATTGTTGTGGGTAGGTGAGGTAATTTTAGTAATTGTTAGGATTGTATTTTTTATTGGATTTATATGTTGTGTTTGGGAAGTTTTTGTTAATAATGGGGATTTTGGATGTTATGGTTTTAGGGTTTGTTTTATAGTTTTTTGGTGGATTTTTGAAAAGGTGGGGGGCATTTTTATAGAGTTTATATTTTTTGCTGGGTGAGGATTGAGGAGACGATATAGTGAGTGTAGAGTTCTAGATTATTTTAGTTTTTAGGTTTGAGGGGGTATTTTTTAATGTTTGTTGGTGATTATGTATATAGTTGAGGGTGTTTGATGTTATTTGCATTAGAGAGTTCCTCTGGGGGGTATGACATACCTATGATGATTTTGCTTGTATATTGTGTTAAAGATTTTTAGAAATTTTTTTGTGTGGTATAGGTAGTGTGAGGTTGGGGGTGAAGGGTTTTTTAGGGGAATTGGTTGGTGGAGGGGATGTAGAAATAAAGAAAGGGGTAGTGTAAGGAGGGGAGGGGGATAGAGGGAGGGATGTGAATGGTTGGGGAGGTATGGTAGGGTTTTTTTGGGTGGGGTAGATGAGATGGGGGGTTGGGGGAGGGGAAATGTGTGGGGTGGTTATGAAGAATGAAGTGGGAGGGGGGGTAGGGTGAGAGATATGAGGGATGGAGAATGTGAGGTATAGGTATGGAATTGGGGTTGGTATGGTATTTGGATTGTAGTTTGGGGGGTGATGGGTGATATAGGTTGTGGAATTGTAGGTAAGTAGTGGTTGAGGGGTAGAGTTATTGAGGGGTTTTTTTTTGTTAGAATAGGTTTGGGGAGGGGTTATTGGGTATTGGAAGGTAAGTAAGTTTATTTGTTGGATGGGGTTGTTAGTTTTTGGTAATTATAGAGAGTGTTTGAATAGAATTATTGTTTTGTGGGGGATGGGGTGTGTGATTTATATGTTTTATGGTTTGTATGTTTGTGTTGTATTGTTGTGTTGGAAGTTGTGATATGGTTTTAAAATTATTGTGGTGTGTGATTTGGTATTTTTGAATTTGTAGTGATGGTTGGTTTTTTTGGTAATTTATTGTGAGATGTTATTATTGTATATATGATAGAGTTAAATAGTATAGAAAAAAGGGGGGGTATGGATGAAGAGAGAGATTGATGATTATGATGATGCAATGTATATTTTAAGATGTTGGGTATGGAGAGTACTTAGTTTGTGGTTGGGGTCATGTGTTGATTTGTGTAAATGGTTAAGATGGGAGTGGTGGGGTATTGAGGTGGGTAATGAGTGGTGTTGTATGTGATGATGAGTTTGATTCTATTGTGAGTAGCTAGGCAGTTTTTGTAGTGTGTTAGGTGTGGGGTTATGGGATTGTTTTAGTATATGTGGTGTTATAGGTGAGGTATATAAGAGAGATTTGAGGGAGGGTGTGATTTGATGTTTATGTTTGGAGGGGTATGTGGGGTATTGGTTTGGAGATGGTTGGGAGGGTTGTGAGAGGTTTATGAGAATAGGTGTTGGTGTTGTAATGTGTGTTTGTTTGAGTTTTTTGGTGTGGTTTGGTGTGTTATGGTTAGTGTGGGTTTGGGGAAGGGGTTTTGTGTGGATTGTGTATGATATAGGAGTAGGTTAATGTTAATAGGATAGATTTGTGGTATTGTATTATTGTAGAGAGATATTATATTGTATTTGGTTTTTTAAGTATGGGGGAAGGAGTTATGATTTTTTGGTGTTTTTTAGGTGTTTTTTGTTTTATAGAAACACATAATTTCAATATGTATTGTTGTACTTTTGAATGTCCATAAGCAATTAAAAAACCGATATACAAATTTTATTACATAAATAAAAATTAAAATTATTGATATTTCATAAAAACACGGCATATAAATTTTCAAACATCCTGTATAAGACAAAATATGTATTTTAAGTGTTCGAAGAATTGTTCATTAGGCCTCAGAGACAAGACTTTCAAATATTATCGATAAGAAATTTAAATAAGTCGGTTATTGTGGAATGGATTTACCCGGAATAAAAGTGTATATAGAAAGTGTTTAAACAATAGACCGGATTTGCGGTGGTTTTTCTCCCCGAAAGATTACATCGGTAAAAGTTTATTAACAAAAGACTGAAACAGGTATCGTTTGTAGCTATTAGTAAGAAATATTTGTAAAGCAGATAGATTTAGTTAGAATAATTAAAGAATGTTGTTTTCTGGAATTACCCGAATGACGTTTTATAGAGAGAGTTGGTTGGTAACGATATACGTCACAGAGGTGGATGATTTTTATTGGTCAATTTTTGAATGCAAGGAGGTGGTGGTTTTGGCTATGAGATAGGAGAGAGGAAAAAAGTTAGTTAGTCAGTTTTCGTTTTCCAAGAAGGAAGGAGCTTTGTGCTTTGTGTTTGTTTGAAGTCCCGAAGACGTAATCTACCGGGTGTGTTTATTTGCTGTGTAAAAGCTGACCAGTGTGAGGAACGGGGTACAGAGAGATAGAAAAACCAAAGGGTATAAGAATATTAATATCAGACGAAGCCGGAAACATTTGGAGTTATAAACAGGCGCGGAGATTGGCTCAAAAGGAGGCTGCATAGAATAACACGAGTTGTTGGGTTGCAGATACAAGGACAGATAGGAGAAAGGTGTACGTCATCTGGACCACAATAGGAGCAGAAGCAGAGAAAGAAAGGTCAGTCAATTTTCATTAGAGCAGGAGTGTGGTTTTCATTTATTAATTAAATAAATTGAATAAATAATAGAGACAGTTAATTTTGCGATCATTTAAAAAAAAATTATAAAAAAGAGCTTAGTTATAATGCATATTAAAAATCAATGTAAAATAACATTTGGGTCCATGATAGAAAACAACTTCTCATATATTTAAAGTTAGTATATTGCAAATATTATAGGATTGATTGTTATATAAAATTTCATTAAAATAAAGGACATCTCACATATAGTTCAGTTGAAATTCTATGTATTTTATTCAGGTCATATTACCTATTCCAATTAGGAAGCCAATTGGAAAATATTTTGAATCCACGATCAAAGGTAAACAGTACAAGTTAAATAGCCTGAGATTGTAATTAATTAATGCTGATTTATTATAGACAGAATTTTTTCTAAATAAGCAATATAATACAATTTAAATAGCATAACAGTATATATCTATATATATTTCAATCTGATTTAAATAATAATAAATATAACACCATAAAAAAACTCTTAAAGTTATAATATTTCTTCACTTTACCTTAACTTAAACTATGTTTAATGTTAATAAACTTATATTCGTTTAAATTATTTTTGACCATACTGTGTGAAATAGTGGTTTAAAATCAGCACTTCGATCAACAGTAAATAAAACTTATTTGTTCTATACCTCTCAATATTTCGTTACGATTTTTTGACTTCTTCACGGGAAAACTGCAAATTTATTAGAATAAGATGCTAACAACGGCAAAATATTTCATTACATACATCTATAAGAGTAAAAATTAATTTTAACGTATCTGGATGAATTCTTGAACATATCTCATTTCAAAATTTGCGCTCCAAATACAGCGATTTATTTAAAAAATATATGCGAAAAATCGATCATGACGCTTAAGTATATATTGATACATTGTAAGAAGAAAACAAATCGTTCTTGGAATGTGTACTTAACCCACAAGTCGGAGACGACATCGTGCGAAATACAAATATGGTTTACGACATCGCTGAAATGAAAAAAAAAATAACAGGTTCCCACCAATCGGAAATTAATAAGGTAAATGAGATTCTCCAAATTGACATAACAAACAACCGATAATGGGTTCGTTACCATCGGAAATT